GGGATGTGTGTTGAGCCCCCTCCTGTTTACTCTGCTCACGTATGATTGTGCAGCTACCCATCCAGGCTGTCACATTGTAAAGTTTGCAGATGATACAGCGGTGGTGGGATGCATCACAAACAAAGATGAGTCCAGAAAAGGCAAGAGGTGGAACACCTGGAGAGCTGGTGCAAAAATAATAACCTTCACATCAATGTGAAGAAGACAAAGGAGATGATTGTGGACTTCAGAAGGAACAAAAACACCTACACCCCCCTGAACATAAGAGGATCTGCAGTGGAAGTGGTCTCCAGCTACAAGTACTTGGGTGTACACATGAATGACAACCTCAGCTGGAGCAACAATACCACCAGCCTGATCAAGAGACTGTACTTCCTCAGACGACTGCGACGAGCTGGTCTGGGAAGCTCAGTCCTCACCTCCTTCTACAGGTGTGCAGTGGAGAGCATCCTGTGCTCCAGCATCAACGTGTGGCATGGAGGCTGCACAGCTGCAGAAAGAAAAGCTTTGCAGAGAGTGGTGAAGGCTGCACAGAAGTCTGTCGGAGTCAGCCTCCCCACCATCACAGACATCTACACCTCTAGATGCAGGAAGAGGGCTACCTGCATCATGAAGGACCTCACTCACCCAGCACACACTTTTTGCCCCACTCCCCTCAGGAAGGAGGTTGAGGAGCATTAAGTGTAGAACCACTAGACTGAGGAACAGCTTCTACCCTGAGGCTGTTAGACTCATGAATCTCTAACCAGAATAATCACTGTGAAAAACCACATCATGTTGCTGCTGATCTGTTTCATGTTGATGTGTTCATGCGTGCACATCCGCTCACACAGACTCATGTTCATGTTTGTGCTGATGTTCAATGTTTTATGCTATTAGTGCTCAGTGTATATTTAGTTGATGTTTCTCTTAGTTCATATCTTAGATGTTATTACTGATTTTCTTATACATTTTATTGTTGGATGTAACTGGGACCCCGTGTACATAATTTCGCTCCACCACATGTACCACATGAGGTGCGAATGACAATAAAGAAACTCTGACTCTGACTCTCTGTATTAAAAGTAGTCTAAACTGGGATAGTTTAATTTAGTACAACTGTTTAAAAAGTGGTCTAAACTTGGATAAAAAAATCACTTAGAACAGCTTTATTAAAAGTGGTCTAAATTGGGATAAAATCACTTAGGACAGCTGTGCTAAAAGTGGTCTAAACTGGGATAAGTTTAATTTAGTACCACTTTTTAAAAAGTGGTTTAAACTGGGATAAAAATCCCTTACAATAGCTTTATTAAAAGTTGTCTAAACTGGGATAAGTTTAATTTTGTACAACTGTTTGAAAAGTGGTCTAAACTGGGATAAAAAATCCCTTACAACAGCTTTATTAAAAGTGGTCTAAACTGGGATAAAAATCACTTAGGACAGCTGTGTTAAAAGTGGTCTAAACTGGTATGTTTCGTTTAGGACAGCTTTATTAAAAGTGGTCGAAAATGGGATAAAAATCACTTAGGACAGCTTTCTTAAAAGTGGTCTAAATCTGAGATAAGTTTCACATAGGACTACATTATTAAAAGTGGTCTAAACTGGGATAAGTTTCATTTAGAACAGCTGCATTAAATGTGGTCTAAA